GGGGGGAGGAGGGAGGGTTATGTTTTTGAAAATAATTTTATCGGCTTTCAAAAAAGAGCTGCTCACTTGCACAGCAGTGTAAAGAATATTGAGAGAGATGCATTAATAAGAAAGTTATCTTTGAGCGGGGCTCATTACAAATTATTTGCTCCCAACGCCCTTACGCAAAAATCGACGACGGCTTTTAATCTCGTCGGTACTTATACATGCTTTCGTCATATTTTCCAGATTACAGACTAAATACCACACTTTTCACGACTACACACGTTGATGGACAGTTGGATTGCCTTATCGTATGTGACCAGGAACCATGTTGCAGATCAATCAATTTTAAAAATATATCGAGTTCAGCCCTTGAGAAAAATTGTGAAATGTTACATAATGTGGTACACAATACATCTGACCAATTGCTGGAAATGGACCCATCCTTTGATCATGTTTATTTTATAAGCTCAGAAAAGGTGAGCTCCGCTGGCCTTAAAATATCTTTTCCAACGCCGTCTGACAAAATGTCCGGTGACGTTGAGTTTGGATCGGACATATGTCCGATGACTTTCAGTTCAGTTTTGACTCGCAAATAAGTCTGAATGACACAAATGAATAAACGGTAAATGTTGTAAAAATATTAAATAATTTCTTTCATACTTATTTCCAAGCCGAAATTAACTCCCTTGCCAGGACAGCAGTGTTAAAAAAGACTTCGACCACTTAAGCCCGTTTTCCACTTCACCATTTCGTTCGCCGCCCCGCGCTCGATTAAGTTTCCAGTACACCTTTTATACAATAGTACGTGGGACAAAGCTACAGTTCGGTCGGACACCAATTCACTTGGGTCGGACAAACAATAAACCTCAGTTTCACCTTGGTCGGACAGAATGTCCGGTGGTTTCCTCTCTACGTCGGACGATTTCACGAATGGGTCGGACAATGTCCGTGACCGACCGATATTTTAAGGCCTGGCTCCGGCGAGGATGATTTAATTAATTTTATCCTCATGTAGTATATTATGCGTATACAGTGTATGAACTTGAAAAATGAAAAAATAAATAATGCGAGCTCTCATGTTATATACTATTTAATTCTTAATTTGTTTAGGTAAACATGCGTTGGCGAGTGCAATTAGGGATTAATAGTACGAGTGATGTTTGGAAATTTTGCCAAAATTGGACGAGGCGCCCGGGCGAGTGAAAATTTTCAATAAAAACGACCGAAATATTTCAATATTTACAAGTATAAGCTATCACTTCGTGTTTACACGGTCGCCATTTTTATTTTTCCAGCATAATGATACCTTACTTCCCATATCCCCCTGCACGCATAAATTAAAAGCTGGAATTGTCTATAGTTGACACAGTTTATTTGAGATATAGACCTTAACATTAGGTTTCCTTTATTTAAGTTACTACAGATTCTGTATAAATTATGAACAAAAGACAGGAGCCCCTTCCTCCTGGTAAATACTTATAAGTTGATTTGAATAAGAAAGAAACACTACCGTGATCTTTGATGTTCTCGATTACCTTAATTAATTTACAGTTGATCTACCATGTTTTCCTGTTACCAATCACGCCAAAATGAAACAATGGAAGCCATATATGTATTATAACAGTTTTACAATAAATTTATTTTAATTTTTATGCATTTAATTTAATTTAATCCACCTTAGTTTTGAAGACGTATAATTTGTGCTAATTGAAGTATTCGCTCAGCCTCGTTTCCGTGGGCGTTTTCCATTAACACGGCCAGACCGTTCAAATTGTTGAATGAAACACAAAACGTTTGGACGTTGGACCTTTCTGACCGAAAAATTTTGATAAAATTAGAATGAGGTCCATTTTCGCTAGATATTTGAGAAACACATGCCTGATCTTTCCATTGATACAGAGACAAAAATTCGGATCTGAACGGTCAGGCCATTAAATGGAAAGCGCCACATGTTGACAGATCACGTCTTAAGCCTTAATTCATCGAAGAAGACTTTTTTACATTGCATTTCCTTTTGCTAAGGTGTTTAGCTATTTTAAAAACTTGAATGGTACTGATAAGTTGTTCACAATGTTCTCCAGTAGCCTCGTTTCCATTCTGAGATCCAGGTGATAAAAAATGAACCCCCTCAAACTGGAATTATGGGATAGATTTCGCTGAAGTCCACATCCAATATTGTTCAGTGTGTCCCAAACTACCATTGTGCCAAGTTTGGTGCTTTTATCACAACCTTACCAATTTTTTTCACAATTCTGCCGCAATATAAGTACGTTTTTCACTTTTACATTTTTTTCGGTTCGCGATTCTTCGGTTCGTGATTTTCAGGTTCGTGATTTCGAAGTTTGTGAATTTCAGGTTCGTGACTTTCAGTTTCGTGGCTTCTAGATTTTAGGTTTTTTTGGTTTTCGGTTTTTAGGTTTCGTTTTTTTAGTGGCTTAAAACTTTCGTGATGTGCAATTTTTATCTGGCCTTCTTCTATTTAGCATAGGAGCGGTGGATAGAGCATGTAACCTAAAAAAGCGCGGTCAGTAAACCAGCGTTGAAACCCAAGAAAGAGTGGACCTGGACCGTCCTTGGAATAGCGTCTAACCATAGAAAAGGGCACGTCTCTATAAATTATGGAGCTGTAGTAAGCATGTTAGAAAGTACAGGGGCATGATAAATGTGTGCGCCCCAGAAATTCGAAAAGCACTAAAATAGTGCGCACCCACGAAATTAAGTGCCTGGGAATAGCAAAACGAGAGGGCTAGGCTCCGTGAATGAAGAAAAGTGTGTAGCCCATAATGTTTTTGGGAGTCATTTGTGTATCCGTTGGCTAACTTTGTGTTTCGCCAACATGTCTTAACACTCAAAAGCCAAGACTGAAAAAGCCAAAACCAAAAAATCAAGGACCAAAAGATCAAGGACCCAAAAGATCGAAAAATACAAAAATCAAAGATCGTAAAATCAAAGACCGAAAAATCGAAAACCCAAAATAAGAAACCGAAAAATGAAAGACTGAAAAGCCAGAGATCGAAAAATCAAAGACCGAAAAATAGAAAACACAGAATCAAAGAGCGAAAAATCAAAGATCTAAAAATTCAAAACCAAAAAACAAAGTCCAAAAAATCGAAGACCGAAAAATCAGAAACCCAAAATTCAAAGACCGAAAAATTAAAAATCAGAACCCGAAAAATTAGAAACCCAAGTATCAAAGACCGAAAAGACAAAATCCGAAAAATCAGAAACCTAAAATTCAAAGAGCGAAAAAGCAAAGACAGAAAAATCGAAAACCCAAAATCAAAGAGCGAAAAATCAAAGATCTAAAAAATCCAAAACCCAAAAATCAAAGACCACAAAACCAAAATCTGAAAAATCAGAAACCTAAAATTCAAAGAGCGAAAAATCACAATTCCAAGAATCAAAGACCGAAAAATTAAAGACAGAAAACTCAAAGACGAAATATCAAAGACCGAAATTTCAGAGACCGAAAAATCCAAAACCCAAAATCAATGACCGAAAAATCAAAGATCGAAAATCAGAAACCTAAAATGAGGAAAAATCAAAGACAGAAAAATCGAAAACCCAAAATCAAAGAGCGAAAAATCAAAGAACTAAAAATCCAAAACCCCAAAATCCAAGTCCAAAAAATCGAAGACTGAAAAATCAGAAACCCAAAATTCAAAGACCGAAAAATTAAAAATTAAAAACCGAAAAATCAGAAACACGAGAATCAAATATCGAAAAATCAAAGACGAAATTTCAAAGACCGAAATATCAAAGACGGAAAAATCGAAAACCCAAAAATTAAAGACCGAAAAATTAAAGATCGAATAATTCAAAACCCAAAAATCAAAGACCAAAAACCAAAGACCGAAAAATCAGAAACCCAAAATTCAAAGAGCGAATAATCAAAGACCGAAAATTTAAAATTCGAAAAAACAAAGACCGAAAAATTAAGGACCAAAAATCAAAGACCGAAAAATCAAACACTAGTACTTTTCCGGTTCGCTATTGTAAATGACTATAAACTAGAGTACGTTTTCAATTCAAAATGTTAAAAAGATGCAAAATTTGGGGAATGTATATACTTGTGGACCCCCCTTTGTTATAAGAAGAACTGGTGCACAATTAAAATGAACATGGAAGTTCTTGAACCTTAAAATCAAGAACTTGAAAATCACAAACCGAAAAATCTAAGTGTAAAAACCAACTTAGGTGTCGTGTCTGGGCTTCCGTAGGAACGATTGCCTTCAATTTAAATATTCATATTCAGCAATGATAAATTTTAAAAATTAAGAATTAATGATGCTATTATTATGTTTAGGAATACAATGCAAGCTGCTTGATACCCAGAGGTTTGTAAATCAACGTATTCTCCATTTACAAGAACGAGTTTAATGTGTTGAAAACGTATCAAGGTCCAGTTTATGAATTCGTCAGTTTGGGGGCTTGAATCAAGAAAAAGGAGTGCAATGTATCTTTTATGGAAACAGAACATAGAACGATCGCAATTATATGAAAAAAACCTTTTTGGAAAGCCTCAATCCTTTTGGAAGAAGAAGGAGGGGGTGTTCTGTGCGGCGTCGCGATACGTGGGGCGGTCAGTAATTCGATGCTTGTGGTGTTACTCTTAGTGCATATCCTAAATATATCCACACCGGGCAGGCTTGAAAAATATGCCTGGCCACGGGGGGTGGGGGGCATCGAACCTACGACCTTTGAAATACTAGCCCAATGCTCTGCCAAATGAGCTACGCGATCAGATTGGTTCGAGTAGGCTATGTGATATTTCGGAACTGAGCCTAGTTCCTTGGATATCGATGTAATCTTGAAGTCATAATTTTTTTGTGTGTAGGTGTAATGTACTAAGGTGAATATGATGCTTGTGATGTTACTCAGAGTGTATATCAACACCGAGCAGGCTTGAAATATATGCTTGGCAACGGTGGGAATCGAACCTAGGAACTTTGGAATTCTAGCAACTAGTATTGAAGGAACTAGATTCAGTTCCGAAATATCACATACTCGAACCGACCTGACCGCGTAGCTCAGTTGGCAGAGCATTGGGCTAGTATTCCAAAGGTCGCAGGTTCGATTCCCACCGTGGCCAGGCATATTTTTCAAGCTTGCCCGGCGTGGATATACACTCAGAGTAACATCACAATCATCATATTCACCTGAGTACATTACAACAACACAGGAAAAAATTATGATTACAAGATTACATCGATACCGAAGGAACTAGAGTCAGTTCCGAAATATCACATACTCCAACCGACCTGACTGCGTAGCTCAGTTGGCAGAGTATTGGGCTAGTATTCCAATGGTCATAGGTTCGATTCCCACCGTGGCCAGGCATATTTTTCAAGCCTGCCCGGTGTGGATATACACTCAGAGTAACATCACAAGCATCATATTCACCTGAGTATATTACACCAACACAGAAAAAAATTATGGTCATTATTTTATTCAAAATCTTAGCGCTTATTGCCTGATCATATAGAGATGCATGTTTCTGAAAACTCATGACTGCGGTATTAAGTGAATTAGTATAAATTCATGTAGATGACTATTGTATCACCTTATGCAACCAAGACTGAATAAAAAAGTAAGACAAATCAGTGCGTAAGCACGGTATCAAGTTAATCATTACTCCGTTCAGGGAAAAAAATATAACTGTCACGTGTGTGTCTTGCAGCAACACTTTTGCCTCTCTACTAACAGCATATTCCTTAACGATATGATAATCTGGAAAGAACTAATTGTATTACTTTTTATTTGAGTTTATCTTAATATTTCTGGTTACAGTAATTGAATAGATTATATTGTGCTTTCGTATGAAGTTGAGGCATTAATGAAGTTGAGGAATAGGATTTGTGCACGGTGAAGTGAAATTCAACATTCATGTCACTGTTCAATGGCGCGTAATCTTGCAGCACGTCATTGCTAGCTGTCAGAAAGTTCAAAAACGCGTTCAGAATTTGGAAGGGAACAACATTGAATTTCGTCCCAAAAGACGCACTGAGAAAAACATACGAAATGAAATATTGATATAATAATAAATATATCTGAACCAGTTAGGTTTCCGTATGGAATATAACTCTGCTCTTAATTCAAAGATCCTGTTAATTGATGCTCACGCATGGGCATATCCTGTTAATTATGACTCCGGTTTTGACGGTGTGGAATATTTGAACATATCTATCGTGCAATAGGTAATAACATTCATTATTTTTATCAGTATTTAACATGATGCAATCTGATTTGCTGAGGAACCTTTTCATCGGGTCCGCTCTGAAATGCAACTGCCCCCTCTCGTTTTCGCGAAAAAGTCCGAGGAGTGAAACAATTTTTAAACTAAAACATCTGCTCAAAAAATTTGATAAACGAATTCGGCCACTAAAAAGCGAAAAAATTACAGCTTAAACAGATATCGTAAAATAAATGTTTTCCCATTTATAAAAGAAGGTTTAACTGCAGCAGTGGAAAAAAGTCACGAATATATTCTCTACCCATTTGTGTCATGCATTTTTCACTGATATAAATATTGTAAACAAAGTACCGCGTGAAAGACCAAAAAAAATACAGAATTGCAAAAATAGCATACCTTTTACATTGTTCTTTTAGTAAAATACATTGACTAAATGAAACAGAATCATTTTTATGTATTTTTAACCGGATGGAAACATGAACCTGCATGTCGTTGTCAGAAGCAACAGAATTTGTCACAGCCAAAACGCCAGGCTTAAACCATTTTATTCCAAAGCTTCGATCTCTGCTACCATATTTACGAAAAAAGCATGTAAATTTTTTCCTGAAACTGTTGTACTATACTTCTTTTTGTGTGTTTCTTGACAGTTTTCTCGAGTCTTCGTATTCGTGTTGTACCTAGCACTTCTCAATTTTTGTCAGCCTCGCGTTAAAAATACACAAATGCACTGATCTCAAATTAGTTCGGAAGCAACACTGGAATTTTAATGAATTTAATTTTTAATTAGATCAACCAACATTAAAAAGATGTCGAGTTCACACATTGAGAAAAATGATGAAATGTTACATAATGTGGTACACAATACAACTGAGCAATTGCTGGAAATGCATCCATCCTTTGATCATGTTTATTTTATAAGCTCAGAAAAGATGAGGATAATTCAAGGATGAGGCGTATTGGGTGAGGGGGGTCCCTGTTGACTGTTGCCATTGCTTGACTGAGATATTATATTTATAAAAGGCAAAGTGTGCAACCAACCTTTCAAAAGGCAAAGTGTGCAACCACCATTAGGCATAACATATTTAATATTTTAGGCCCGGATGAGTGTTCCCAGGGCAACCACTCATGTCATGTAAATGCAAGATGTGTGGAGACCGTTGTTTCATATCACTGTGTTTGTCACAATGGTTATCATGGTGATGGATACAATTGTACAGGTATGAAATGCCCTAACAGAACAAAACGGACGCAAAATCCAGAATAAGCAATCTGCTAGATTTATAAGTTTCCGAAAATCCTGGCAATTTTTTTCCATTTCAGACATTGATGAATGTTCTCAAGCAATGTTCGATTGTGATTTGAACGCGACGTGTATCAACACCAATGGTTCGTACAACTGTGCTTGTCACTCCGGATATACAGGAAATGGTAAAGAATGCGCAGGTAAACATCCATGTACGCATGACTAAACAAATATTTTCAATTATATTTGTGCTGGTGTTCCTGTGGACGTCATTGTTGCATTTCGATTTTGCTGTTGTGGCTGGTATTCTCGTCTTTCTTTGAGAGGTTTTCCAATTTAGAGTCGCCAGTAAATCAGATGACTGAATATCGTAAGTTGCACCCAAGTAATTACTCTTGCAGCACGTTATGGATTTTGCATCATACCTTTCAGCCCAATTCCGCTGTTGTCCCATAACGAGGTGCACCAATCGAAATAATAATACAAGTTTCGAAAATCGTAGTTTCTAATTATGCTAGTTGTGCCGCCATTTAGTTTATTTATGTACGTAAGCCGGTCGGGGCGGGCAACAATTTTTCAGTTGCTGTCCGCCGGGATACATTGCATTTATCTGAAGTCAAATGACCACAAATCAGCCAATCACGTTTGGAGTTCACGCAGGTAACAATAGGTAATATTATGAGTTCGAGTTCAATTTGTAAATAACCTGCACAACTGAGCCGAGTACGATGAACGAGTGCAATTTGAAGTTTTTCTCCTCTATTCCAAAAGCTCGCTCACAATCAAACTCAATGAGTGGAGGCTCAATATAACCATTTCATGAGTATCAATGCTGTTTTAGTACAGCTATAAGCAGGGACGGCGGAACTGGGGGGGGGCAGGGAAGGCGGCTGCCCCCCTTGCCTTTTGCTAGGGGGGGGCAGGAGGGGGGGCCAGAAGTGCCTTTTTAGTTGTAAAATACTACGTGATAAATCACATTTCCAGTGATGCTTTTTTCTGGGAAAATCATGAGATTCAGGTAATTTATAGGCCCAGAGAAAGTAAATTAACAAAAATAATTGTGAATTTGGTAAAGAATGAGTTTAATTTAGAGAAAATTTAGAAAATTTTTGGAATTTAGAAAAATGTTTTAACTTAACGGAAAATTTTGGTATGTGGAAGTCCAAAATTTCCATGAAGAAAAAAATTTCCGGTAGATTTTGAACTTTTGCCCTATAGAGGTGCCCTTGGTGTGCGTCTGCCCCCCTTTGCCTTATTATCGTTCCGGCGTCGCTGGCTATAGGGCGAATAGACACAAAGTAAGGTGCGACACTAAACCCCCAGCTATTGAAAAACAGCAATAACACTCGAGAAAAGCTTAGATTGAACTTCCACTCATTGAGTGTGAGTGAGCTTTTAGAAGAAGGGCGTTTGAACAGGTGACGAGTTTATTTTTTTTTAATTGCGCGAGAAACTATACTATTATTTATTAGTAATACACAGGAAAAATTATGCAGTCACGTGCGTAAGAAAATGACGAAATTTGAAAAATAAAAATTGAGTGTTTACTGTCGGAAACGTGGGCTTAATGTTTGCATTCGAAAACGTGGACATGTAGCCGTCAAACATTACATGCATTCCTTCCATTGATATTATTCTTAACTATTATGTTGTTTGTTTTGTTTGTTGTGACAGTTGGTTTGAATACTAGAGAGTATGTCTTTAGTCTTGGGCTGTTTTCTTGAGAAGGCATGTGTCCCTACAGTTGCAACTGCCTGCGTTTTCGCCCTGTGGCAGCTTTTTCCAAATGATGCGTGCATTATGTCGGGTAATGGTGGACTTCACACTGTTCATGCAACTATAGCTGACCTTTACAGTATGGAAAACGTTTGTCAACCAGGCTGAGGAATTACGGGACCAAGCATTATCTTGGGTTTCATTTTGACTGATATAGCCGAAGACGAAACTTCTATAATAAAACACGCTAGGAAATTGCTACTACGTTTGGAGGATAAAACAAGAACAATACTCCACAAATCTTTCTATTAATTTAACTTAAAAATCACAGCAAGAGCGAATTTACGTGTAATAAACTTCTTAGATGTCACATTCGACCTCAGCAATGGAAAATACAAACCTTATAGGAAACGCAAAGACGATCCATTATAATCCATTATTATACATAGATGGACTGTCAAACCACTCATTCGCATCGTATCGCTTCTCTTATCAGAGGAGCAAACATTTCATGCGGCTGCTCTTCTTTTACCAAGGTGCACTACGTCACAGTAATTTAAATAACAAAATAGGCTACATGAAAGAAACACCGCAAAAACCTTTTCTTTTTCAAGTCAGAACTTAATTAGTAACGCATCAAGTAATTTGGATCTTGATCCCAAACCCGGCCCTGTTAGTGAAAACGACTCTCCTCAAAGGATCGTAACCTGTAAAAACCAAATGTTGTAGATCATGTCCAGGCTTATGGGGAAAACTAGACGAAATGACTGTAGAAATTGAAACTTTAAAATCTCAAACAAATACTTTACAAGCATATGCAAGTAGTAACGAACCCAACTCATCGTTAGACAACCTCACGTCCCTGATCAGGAATTTGAAGCTGCAACTTGCATCTACGAATGATATATACGGCTTGAAAAAAGTTGGCAGCGTTGAGACAGAACTACAAAGATAAAGCTATCACAGATAATGGACGTGATAATAAAGATATACAAGATAGATATTTTGAAAACTCACATAGCGTTTCCTTCTCGGATTAATTGGTGGAACAAACACAGAACTCAACAATATTTTTCTTTACAAAAACGCCCAAACTCTCTTCTCAGGAATTGTCCGCATACAAATTCTAAAAAACAAACTTAACATCTCCGGCAAACACTTCATCTGACTCTGCAATGCAGGAAGCAACCCTTGTACACCAATTATTGCCAGCGAACTGCTTGAGAAAACTGAAATCGATTGAGCTACCCTTAATGGAAATATGCCAACGCCGTTACCCTGGTAAAGAGTTTATTACAAACCGTCGCCCTTTTTTAAAGCGCCAGTGAAATTACAACTAAACGACCGGTCAAATCATGACCGACACTGCCAGCTCTCCAATGAACAAATTTCCCCTCTTTTCGTCTCCCACCTTCCATCCGTAGCCCAATCCTACCTTTCATATATCTAGTTTCCACCCCCTCCCTAAAAATTGCCATCTTCAGCGCAATTTAAATAATCTCATGCATTCAAGTAAATATTACAATGCTGCCGAATCTAATTGTGCTATGGGCGATCGAACCAAGAAAACTTTACTTCTGAAAATTTCTTTAATAAACGCCCAATCACTTTTACAAAATTTAGACGAGTTAACTGCTCACTTTCTATTAACCGAGTCGACATTGTGGCAGTTACCGAAACATATATAGTTTAATGAAGATAGCGATGATAGTCTTGCTTCAATCCATGGTTATAACCCTTTTCGTAAGGACCGCCCAAATCGCCGAGGGGGTGGCATTGCCGCTTACGCATTGCGCACGCTCACTGCTTGCAGTTTGAGCGCTCTGGCATGGTTTGATATCCCACATTCGTGAGGGCATCAAAGGTAACTGTAAATAGCAGTTACTTTCATCCTGGTCACCAGCACTACACTGATGAGGCCCGTAAGCCGAAACTGTACCGTCAGTAGTTAGATATCGCTCTATGGACTTTTGATCATGCATATTGAGCGCTCTACAGGATGAGCCATTGCCGCTTA